CTCCTTTCACTAGAATATAGCTTCATGAAAGCAGGGACATTATGTGTTTTTTCACACCTCATTGCTGTATCTTTAACACACAGAAGAGTGCCTGCCTCAATAAATCCTTGTTGAATTGCATAAATAAAAACACACTTGTATGTTTGTTTGATTACCTAAAAAGCATACCCTTTTCAACTTTATCAGATGAATGTTTTATTTTTAAACATCAGCTGCCATGTGTAGTGTAAATAATAAAGGTTCAATTTTTATTTTGTCATCAACTAATAATGGTTAACTGTTTTAGCTCTTTGTCTTAGAAGTTGTAAGTTAGTTATCAAGGAAAGGTCTAAGAGGACTTCTTATTCATCACATTTATACTGTTCCATGAAAAACTTTTAAGATATTTTTGTTTTGTTGTAGTTTGCCAAAATGTGAATTTGAAGAAAATTTAGAGGTTATATGATGTAATCAATATTTTTGATTGAGGTTAATAAAAATTTTGATTCAAAGTGACTTAAACATTAAAGAAATATGCTTGCTAATGCCAGCTTATCAGTCATATTGAGAAGAATTCAATGCAAGGCTCTTTAGAAAGTTGTGACATTATTAGGGGGAGTCGGCATGGTTTGAAGGAAGGAGGAGTGAGTGTTTAGCATAACTGAGAGCAAGTTATTGCAGCTATAGGAGAAATGTACCTGATTGGAGTATGATCTTCAAAAGCGGAATATAATGTATTGACCTGAAGGGGTGAAGCCAGGGAAATAAATACCCCCAATTCATTTTTTTCGTGTCCTTTAATTTCTTTCTGGTGTCTCAAGCTAGTCAAACAAACACAACTGGAAGCCAACATGTAAGGGACCCTACCAAGGAGAAATAGGATGGGGAAGGTTGGAGAGAGATGAGTATAGCCAGAAAAAGATATTCAATAAGTGGAGCTTCAGGTCTTGGTTATCTAAGCCTCAGTTATGTCATGAAAGACCCAGGTTTTTTTCTGTATCTCTGCTCTGCCACCTGGAATGATGATTTTATGGTACAGCTGCTATCTGTGTGGTCATAAGGAGGTTGCCAGGTGGACTTGGTGCTATAGGCCTTCACACCCAGGTGGAGGGAGAGAGAGTGCCTTTCTCTCAGTTACTGAACAAGATTCTTCCCAGTTTCATTAATCAGCTTAGGTCATGGTCTATTTTGAACTAATTGTTGCCATGAAAATTTTTATACTGGGCCTCTGAACTAATCACATCCTGCCCCTTTTAACAGCATGCAAGTGATTCATATAGGATATTCACATAGTCTATTTGGAGCTCAATCTTGGTGTCCCATGAAGAGTGAAATGGATATTGAATGTCAACTACTTTATGATGTACCTCTAATAATTAAAATAATTTTCCATAATTTACTTAACATATAATGCATGTTCTGTATATATATAGAATTGTTTCTGCAATACAAATGAACATTTCTGGCAATCCATTCCATGGTGGGTTGCTCTAAATGTGGGAAAGATGTCTTAACTTAGTAACAATTTCTCCCTGTTACATCCATCACCCCTATTTAACTTATAATATAATTTTTTTTAGCGTCTCAGATTCTACTTCCAAATATATTTAGTCACATCTTATATAGTACTTCTTACAAAATATGTCTTCAGTTACACACACATAATGACATATAGTTTAAATTTCAGAGCTTGCATTTCACAGATTTATAACTAAATTATCCAAGTATAAATTTACTTTAAAAATAGCTTTACTTGAGAAAATGAAAGCAAATATAAAATTAAAAAATATGTATTTAAAAGCAGTCTATCAAACTAAACACATTAAAACCAAGTTAGATGTCTTAATCATCCTTTCCTCTCCTAATCTGTTTTGTCTTATCTGTTCTATTATTATTGTTTTTGAATTTGCCATGAATTTTGCTAAACATTTACTGAGGAATTATGGCAGGCACCAGACAAAGATGACTAAGATAGTATCCATTTTTATATCAGGAAAGAAAGATGTGTGAATAAGTAGCAGTAATACAAGGCAGAAGGAACAAGTACTACCTATAGGTAAATATAGCATGCCGTTGAAGAGAATATTCATTTTATGTTGTGTAGGATTTTTAGTGAGCTAATTAAAAAGCACAATTTTAGAAAAATATTTACTGAAAATCAATTTTAGTAGTAAAAACTATTACCCAATGACATTAATTGCTATGAAAACACAGCTGACACTTTTGTTTCGTTTTTTTAGTAATGCGGAAGGCCTCATGTGATGCTTTTAGCATATCTCATAATGTGGTGCAAGTTGAAAACTTGTTTTCAAATTATGAATTACTTCTTCAAATGAATAATTTCATATGGTCAATCTGATTTTATATTCCTTTAGTGTTCTTTATAAAAATCTGACAATTTTTATAGGATAAAATCTGATCTCTGAGAATGTTTATCTAGGAACAGGATCTCACTGTTCTAGTTCAGAGTTGTAAGCATAAAAGTAGAATGTATCAGATAATGTTCTTGAAACCATTATTACTGAATAAAACTACAATGTATAAGATAAGCTATGTGAAATTATAACTGGTGAAGGATCAGGCTGGAGCTTTAAAAAACCATTGATCTCTTATTTAATTTAATTTCCCTATTGATGAATAAAATAGTTTAGAATTTAAAAGCATGGTATTCTTTTCATGAAAATTCCTTTAAAATGAGTGCCCAATCTTTGCTTTTTTGTTTTTACTCAAATATTTGTTTTTGTTCCCCTTCCTCACTTTAATAATTCAGCTATTTCTTGGGATCATTTCCACCATCTTATTATAAAATTTTCATGTGAAGTTATGCTTGAAAGCTTGGTTTGAATTTTGTAGATCTATTGTTTATCTACTCACCATTGGTGTTTGGTCAAACACACAAGCCTACTAATACAAAATCATTGCTAGCCTTATCATACTTCAAACTAATTAAATGCCACCTTCTCAGTAATACCTTCTTTTAACCACCATTCTGCAAATTTCCAATCCACAGCATGTTTTTCTTTTCATACACTTATTAACACCTAACATGTTATATATTTTACCTTTTTATTTATTGTATGTCCCGCCTTTCTTCTCCTTTAGAATGTAAGTTCTATGAGGGCAGGTTTTTTTCTTCCAGTTTTGTTCACTGTTCTTTCCACAGTGCCAAGGAAAGTGCCTGGAAAATAGTAAATACTCAACATGTATATTTTCTGAATAACTAAATGAAAAATATTGCTCTCTACCTTTAAGGTAAAGGAAATATTGTAGATGCAAGGGTTTCATGAGATGAGGGAACATGATAGAGAAAGCAGATGAAACAAACTGGTGTTTGTACATGAAATTGGCCCAAAGAAAATATTTTGTTTGGCTCAGCAGAAACATAAAGTTTTGAACTTTATTTCCTTTAGGTACCTTGAACCTGAAGAGTAGTCATCACCATTGTTTATTGTCTCCTATCCTAATTCATACATTGTTGTTAACTACTTGTGTATTGTAATCATTTGAATTTGTGACTCCTTATGTAGAGAAAACCCATGACATGCTTAGGTCAAATTTATCGAGTTGTCCTTGTTGCAAGCATGATGAATGTAGGTAATATTAGACCCAAATATTCCTATACTGATAGTTGGACTTCAATCAGTGGATAATGGAGATAAAGATGTAATGTGACCTGTGCTTTAGGGTTGAATGGTAGGTGATACTTTACCCTAGGGAGGGTGGCGATGCTGCAGAAATGATCACTAGATGAGGAAGAAGAGATTTGTGTAATAATGTATTTTTTTCGATGTTCAAGTTTTATGAACAGCCTTTTCTCTCTAATGGTTTCATCTGAAATTATAGTCTATGGTAGTATTGTTCAAGTAAAATATAATGCAAGCCTCATGTTCTATTTAAACATTTCCAGTAAAAAGTAAAAGATTAAATTAATTTTAGTAATGTATATTATTTAACCTAGTATATCTAAAATATTATCATTTCAAAATATACTCAATTAAAAATAATAGATATTTTACATTATTTTTTCATTCTTAACCTCAAAACCCAGATGTACATACTTAACAGCACATCTCACTTAGCGCTAGCCATATTTCAAGGGCTCAGTAGCCACGTGTGACTAGTGTACTGTATTGGGCAGTACAGCTTTAAGATTTGGTTTGAATTTTGGAAGATCTGTCATTTATCTAACTACCATTGGTAATAAATTATATGTTGGTGATGACAATTGAAAATTCCCAGTGGGAGTACTCAGCATAGAAATAATGTTATTATATAAAGCTGTGAAAGCATAAAACATCATCCAGGGAGAGTATATGCATGGAGAAGAGGGGGCCAAATAAATAATCTTGAGCAGTTCTATCTTTTAAACAGCGGTCACTGAGGAGTAATCTGACTGTCATGAAAACCAAAAGAGGCCAATATTTTCAAAAGACTGAGATCTACTTTTTTAAATACTATGGATAGGTCAGAAAGGTTTTTTGCTAAGCAAGATGCCTTGCATTTGTCGATGTGCAAGTCATTTGTAACTTTTTGAAGAAAGGGTTCAATAGAATAGTAGGGTTGATTTATTTTTCCTTTGGTTGGGAGCTAGTGAATGCACTTCTCTCTCGCTCTTTTTTTTTTTTAGGTGTGTGTGTGTGTGTGTGTGTGTGTGTGTGTGTATTATGATATTAATTTTATCTCATTTTAATTTTGTTTAAGATCTCTTCTTGTTCACCAATTCCTATAAAAATGGAATATAATCATACTTATTCATAACTTATTTTATTTCTTTAGCTTGAGTTAAGAGTGGCATTATTTAATCTGAGGTATTTATCTGCAGTTGTCCTGGAAATGGCTTCAGATAACTATCAGAGAATTATCTTAAAATGCTAACTTTCTAAATATAATTAAATTTTCAGTAGCCAAGGAAATATAAGTTTTTAATTTTACATTTAAAGTATTAAGGGAGACTTGTGAAAAATTCATATGTACTTATTTTAAGTCAGAAATTTTGCATTTTGATATTCTGCATAGTTTTAGCTTAAATTTCTGTTTTCTTTCTTTAGTCCTCAAGAGTTCATATAACTAGAGCTGTCCTGGAGCAATTTTTAACCTTTGCAAAATACCTTGATGGTTTATCTCATGGAGCACCTTTGCTGAAGCAGCTTTGTGATCACATTTTATTCAATCCAGCCATCTGGATACATACACCTGCAAAGGTAAAACTGTATTCTCGTTTATTTTATTTCAGTGTAATGTATCAATATTAGTTATGGGATCTGAACTATCCAATATAAAACATTTGGAGTTTTCAGCTTATTTTGTAGTTAACCTGAAGCACTTGTATTAGGCAGTATCAGAAATCAAAATATTAAATATGTAAATGTTAAAATAAATGAAACTATAGTTAAAAATTAAGCTTGATGTAATAACTACATTCTGAAGTCATTAGATGTGATTGATAGATACTTTTCCAAGAAAGAGAATTTAGTACACTGATTATTAAAACACTAAAAAAAGAGAAAATAACAGGTATCTATAATGATAATTGTGATCATTATAACTGGAAAATTGCTTGGGTTGTGAATATAGAATTTATATCATATGTGAATTCTGTTTGTTTTAAAATAAATATATGCATAATTTTTTTTCTAGATAGCAACATACATTTTTTAGTATTTGTATACCTTAACTTAGTCCTGTTATATTCTAGTGGAAATCAATAATGAGGGGCATTTTTAATAAATTTGATCTGCCTTTTACAATTTTCAGATCTCCCATGTAACTTTGTTTAAATACTGTTTAAATTCTGACTTTTATTATAGTTTATCCTGTCTGAGTGCTAGCTCAAATCTGAAGTTTGTTCCCTCTCTCAAGCTGTTTGATTTATTTCTCCACTTACATTGGTTAGATTCTGATACTATGGCAATGGGTTAAGAAATTTTGAAAGTACATGAATATGACAACAATATGTATTTTTTCCAAATATGATATAGCTGACTGATGTTAATCTTGTTCCTTTGAGTGCTGAAATATACTTTGATTAAGGGCTGTAGTCTAGTTGACTTTTTAAGTAATTTGATCATCCTATCAGATACTTTCAATAAAATTACTGAATCATTTAAAATTATTTCATTTTTAATAGCCATTACATTACCTTATTAAAAGAAATGTTATTAGAATGTGTTGATTGCAGATTTTCTTTTTAAAATATTAATAATATTTAATAAGTAATTATTTTTAACCTCATGATAAATGGTCTTTTCTTGGCCTTTACTAATTTGCATTTAAATTAGAATAGAATGTATATATATATAGTTTATACACTTGAGACATTTTAAATTCATTTTAATGCTCTGTTAATATTCTGTATTAGGTTCAGCTTTCCCTGTATACTTATTTGTCTGCTGAATTTATTGGAACTGCTACCATTTACACCACCATACGCAGGGTAGGAACAGTATTACAGCTAATGCACACATTAAAATATTACTACTGGGTCATTAATCCTGCTGACAGCAGTGGCATTACACCTAAAGGATTAGGTAAGTACAAGTCTATCAGTACATTAGACTGTACTGTGATTACTCTGTATCTGCTATTAGAGTAAACAGATATGCACAGTTATGAAAATATGGTGTATGCAGTAAACAGGTATATTGAAAATTCTTTTTGATAAAAAAAAAGTTTATAGCTTTGCAGTATTAAATTATTTTTGGAATAAAGGCAGGTAAAAAGAAATAATATTCTACCTTTTAGCTTATATGCTTGTTGTGATTCAGGAAGATACATTTGTAATATTAAAAACAGATGAGTGCTATTGGTCATGGTCAGTGAGTTGTAATACAATTGTTTCAACATTTTGAGATTGTTGCTTTTCTTTATATTTTTTCCCAAACTTCTTTCTTCCAAGTGTACTAGAAACTAATTCTTCATTGCATTGTATTGTTTAAAGTTTATTTCCAATTTAACTTAATATATAAAAATACATACTCATAGAAATAAAATAATATAGAAGAAAAAAATATAACCCAAACCTCAGGAATACTGTTACAAGTTTGGTATGTCTTCTTCTACTATTTCTCATTGCATAAATATGTGAAATATTTAAACTTGTACAGAATTGAGATTTTCTTGATTTTTTTTTCTTGACTCTACATAGCAATTTAAGAGCAATGTACCATTAAAGTTTTTATTGTATAATCAAATTTCTAAATGCAGTGATTGATTCCATTGTGTACAATCATTTGCCTCTATCTTTGATTTGTTTAGAATTACTGAGAGTCTCATGATAATTATTGTCAATTTTTTCCAGAAATATTGTACCAGTTTATAATTTCACCAATAGTATGTTAGAGTGCTTTTCTCAACATATTCATAATATTGCAAATTATCATTTTATAAAAAGTTTTTTGATAGGGAAAATAGCATTTCATTACTTTAATATTCATTTGTTAGCTTACTTTTATGTCTTTTATTGATGGGGCTTTCAAAATTGTGTATTTGCACTCAGATCTGTTATTTTGTCATTTATGGCTTTTTTTATTGTTTTTAAATGAATAACTCCTGAAGTTTACTGAACGGTCACCATGGGTTGGAATCTATACTAAACATTCTACATGTTAATTTTGTTTAGTCATTTATAGATAATACAATTATATATACATAGACATATTTACACATACAAATAGGAATTTATTTATACATAAATATTTTGTTAATATCACTCCCATTTTGCAGATTAGGAAATGAAAGTTGGTACAACGTGACACAATTAAAATTTGAATTATGTTTATCTGACTCAGAGCACTTGTTCTTAAATAATACCTCTGGTATTTTAGGCAAATCATATATTCACATATATTTATTTCTTCTTCAAAAAGTTAATTTATAATTTACAGAAAAGTTGTAAGAATTGTACAGGGGATTCTCATATACCCCTACCACACCACATTTCCCAGTATTTTACATTTTACTACATAGACTTTATCACTCCCTACTCTTATGTAAATATAGACACACACATATACATATGCATGTTTTTCTCTATTATTTGAGAATAAATTGTAGATGTGATGTCCTATTATCCCTAAATAGTCTACTGTTTATTTCCTAAGAGATAAAGGTACCCTCTTAGATTACCAAAGGCAACCATAAAATCAAGTAATTAACTTTAATACAATACTATCATCTAATCCAAAGATCCCGTTGAAATTTTACCAATGATCCCAATAGTATTCTTTCTAGGAAAACAATAATTTTTCCCGTAAATCCCGGGAAGTTAAGGATCTTTTCTTGCTTTTAGTTGTCTTGTCATTTTAATATTCTTCAATGTAGAATATATTTTTTTAGTATTTCCTTGTCTTCCATATACTTGGCATTTTTGAAGATACTTTTAAATTACTTTTTAGAATGTCCCTTATTTTGGATCAGTTCGATATTTGTTCATGAAGATTTAGGCTTTTCATTTTTGGAAGGTATCACACAGAAGTCATACTAGTTCTTTCTCATCGTGTCATGTCAAGAGGCACAGAGATGTTGAGTTGTCTTATTACTAGTGATGTTAACTTTCAATTATCTGATTAAGGTGGTGTCTACTTGGGTTCTTCATTGTAAAATTACTACTATCTCTTTTCTACTAATAAGTATTTGATAGAGAAATACATTGGGATATGTAAATATGCTATTTTTTGAAAATCTTCACTTACTGGTTATATTTCATTGATGACTTGTCAGAATAGATCTTTACTGCCAAATGACCATATTTTTAAGGCGTTTATTATTTTGAATTTTACTGTAGGCAGAACTTGTTTTTCTTCTCCATTTATTTATTTGTTTATTTTTTATTATATCAGTATAAATTTCGTGGGTTTCTATTTTATTTAGTATGCAGTTGATAGGCTTTCTCTGGGAAAGGCCAGACAGTAAATATTTTATTTAGGCTTAGGGAGCCTTAAGATATTTGTTGCAAGCAGTCAACTCTGCCATTGTGTTGCAAAAAAAAAACCAACCCAAAACTCAAAAACAAAGAAACAAAACACCACATAGACAGTTTATAAACGAATGTGTATGGTTTGGTTCTTGAAACTTAAAACTGGCTTAATGGATGTAGCCCAAATGCTATCCCCTGAGTTGTATAGGTGTTTATTTTTATGTTCAAATTGTCTCAGGTTTGGCCAGTAGGAGCCCATTCACATGCATTCTTGGGTTTTTATGACAAATGTTCATAATTTTTAGTACTTCCTTGCCTTCTGGCACAAGATGTTCTTGATTCATCATATACTTTCCTTGTCCCAGTCCTGGAATCAGCCATCTCTTCAAGAAGCCCTGGATTGTTTTGGTGAATATGGTATTTAGAAACCAGGATCTGGATGTTAAGTGTGCCCGTTATGGTTATTAGTCTTTGGATGTCATTGCTTCTAGGCGTTCTTATTGGAAAGGATCTAGGAAATAGAAGTTTATATATGTTACATATATGTGTGTTTGTGTACACACACACACACACACACACATACATGCATACATCTAAACTGCTGTAGCTATATTAAAAACCATGAGTTTATACCAGTGCCTTCAACTGTAGTCTAAAACCACATGGTTCAATTTAGCCTCAGACATATTTAAAGCTTTTTTCCTTCAATAGTGGGAAATCTGACTCCCATTATCTTGAATATATTTACATATTTGCTTGTTCTATTCATGAAACCAGTATTCTGACATCTGCACCATCACCTTCTCAGCTTTGACATACCAAACAGCTCTGACCATATCCTCAACTGTAACTTTGGATGATCCTTGTCAGTTCTTTACCCTAATTGTTTCTTTGCCACAGCACCCTACTGGCCCTTATTGTCTCCTCACCCTGACCTGGAAGGGGTTGCCTCCTTGTCTGTTCCAGCATCGGGTGTGTCCTTGGCCTCTGCTATTTCCTGGGCTCTTAGGTCCCTGGGCCCTTAGGTCCTGCTGGCTTTGGCCACCTTAAAGGGAAAGGAGAGAATAAAACAAATAAATATATTTTAAAGAAAAGTGACAAGAAAGTGGGAGGACATTTCTTTTTCATTATGGTTTAATTTTTTTTTTTTTTTAGTTGAGCCATCCTGCCAACACTGGCAGCTCAGCTCGGGCTGGGAATCGAACCACTAGTTGCTCAGAGCTCGCACTCTTGAGCGAGCTCTTAAGCAACTGAGCCACTCGACTGGCCCTAATTTATTCTTTATTCTTTTTGGCCCATGCTTTTATTAATTTATTCTTTAAACACACCTTTCTAATCCATCTGAAATTTATTATATAGTGGAATGTGAAGTTCTGATTTGAAACTTGTTTTCTAAATGACAACTTTTTAGAATACCATTTTGATCTAAAGTGCTTTCTTTTAAGGAAACTCTAAAGATTACTTGTACTCCACTAGCTTTTCATAGAACTATTCATGTGTATGTATTCACTTTGAGAATTAGGATATTTTTGTTTTGACTCTTTTAGCACTTTTGTCTCTTAAATTATTATTATACATGGTTCACTATAAAACATTTATTGATATTACAAATATCATAGTAATGTATGAACTTGGCAGCAAGTGAAATAATACAAAGGTTTATGAATAAAAGTTAATACTCTCCCAAGGAGCCAATATTACCAGTCTTATATATCATTCTGCCACTTTTTTTTCTGCTCATATACAAACTTATACTTCCATACACATAGGTGCTTCAAATTATAGGTGTTTCAAAGATTACTTTGAATACATCGTAAACAAAATGGTATTTTATATATATAACTATAAAATGAACCTCATAAAAGTACCGCCAAGCTTAAAAAATAGAACATTATAATGAAGTTATATCTTCCTCCCATTTCCAGCCATAGAGATAACCCCGTCTTGAATTTTATGTTTATTATGCCTTTTTTTTTACTTGAGTCTTATTATTTTTAACTATCCTTTACTCCTTTACTACTTATGTATGTATTCCTAAATGATTATGTATTATTCATAAATGGTATCATTTGTGGTTTGTCATTCAGTTTTATATTTGTAAGATATATGTATTTATATTTTATTTTGTAAAATATGAATTCATATCACACATACACAAAATTCACACATATCTATATCTCTGCCACTTGCTTTTTGCATTGCATAATATATGATGATAGTAATTTTATCTAATATTACTGAGTGCTTACAATTAAAATTGTAATTTTATTTTAATTTCTTTACTGTTCTAATTCCTTTACGTATGTTGATCTATTTAATCCTCACAAAATATCCTATGACATAAGCACCATTATATCCTCATCCTGACAACAACAAAAAAATGATGCACAAAGATAATATAAAACTTGTCCAATTTCATTAAGTGGTGTCAAATTATAAATAAAATAAAATAGTTATTACTAAGACATGTCTGTCTTTACTGGGATGTAGGGGGGGTGTAATCAGGAGGGCAGTGTGCCTCAGAGCTGAGGGCTGAGGGAGACTGAGGGCTCTATTGTACTGGTGCCACAGACCATGATTAAATATTCAGGCATTTATGAGCTGGTAGTTAAATTAAACCATTGGTAACTCGAACTTGAAATCAATCATGGTGGGAGTGTTTACACAACAGAAGTCAGAAATCTGCAGATGACATAACTCAGGACCTCACCCCTGCACTCTGTTAGTCCCTTCACCTGCATGCCATTGCTTAATGAGTTTCCCTGCCAGGGTTCAGTTTCACTTCTTCACCGAAAAAGTGGTTCTACAGGTGTTCATTTTATAATAATTCATGAAATTCTACATTCATATATTCTGTATGTGTGCTATATTTCACCATGAAAAAGATGTTTTAAGAAAAAGTAATAAGTGTTGGTAAGGAGGAAAAAGTAGTTTGTACTATTGGCAGGAGGAGGGCAAAAATGTTGAGGGCACTTGGGGAAGTGGGAAAAGGTTTCTCTCTCAGGAGTAGATGGAATGGATTTTTTGAGTGATAATTTGCTTTGAGATATAATTACATGGAAATATGTGGCGAGTGAATAGAGATGTTAGAATTTACACATAAAGGGACAGTAGTTTTAAAACTTATAAAGAAGCTATGTAAATCCTGGTTGTGTTAAGAAAGGCTGATACGTACATTTTAATTGTTCTTGTTCATTTTCATGTATTGACTCGTTAACATTTATTGAGTGCCCACTGTAGTATGTATTTGGTATATACAAATGACATGGAAGAAAAAAACCTATGAAACAAAAAATTACAATGCAGTGTCACTTTTGCTATGCTTTGTTATGTGATATAAGGGGTGGAGTGGAAATGGAGACAGATGGTTTCTGTATGAAGACAGGTTTGAGGATGAAAGAAATATTGGGGAAACTTGGATTTGAGGAGAGAAAGGAAACCTATTAATGTAATAAAAATAGGAAAAAATATCCATGTGACCACTTGATGATTATACATTTATCACTGGATACTAATGTATTATAATTTTTAAAAAGTAATTCTTTCCCCCAAATGTGACATTAAGTGAATAATTTAAAATTGCCCCAAATCTGAAAATTAATGTTTAGATTCTCTGATACAATTCAAATTATATAGCATTAATAGTAATAAATATTTTAATTATAAATATAACTATTAAATAATTCCATAGTATCCTAACATTATTGCATTAAGCTTATTTAATATCATGAGTTCTTTTTCTTTTTTTACTTTTTTTTTTCTTTTTTCTGTTTTATTCTAGATGGTCCCCGGCCATCACAAAAAGAAATTATATCACTACGGGCATTTATGCTACTTTTTCTGAAACAGCTCATACTGAAGGTAAAGTAATTTTTCATAATAGCAGAATATTAGGTGAAAAGGAATTTTTGGCACGGTTTAAAACCGTTATTGTAAAATTAGCACAAACTGTGTTTAATCCATGAATTGCTTTCAGTAAATCTTAGTATTAATTTTTGTTGACCTTAACTTTTTAAAAAATATTCTTTCAGATCCTTAATACTAAGGGATATGGCAGAAACAGATAAACATATGCATAACAAATAGCATAAAGTTTTCATTCCAGAAATTTGTGTTCCTGTTTGAGAATGCTTACGTTATATATTTTATCACAGAAGGATTTTTAAAAGATTAAGATAAAAAATGGAAAATAAAGGCAAACTACACAATTAATATTGTAAAAT